CTCTGAGTAAAGGACACAGGAAGTGATCTACTGCTCTTTGGCCCTGTTTATTTAAGGTGTGTCCTCTTAACTTCCCAAGAGCATAGCCTCTATTTGAGATTCTTCAGAGTTTTTGTCACGCTGTGCTGGCGGCTAGTTTTCTGGGGACTGACCTGTAAGTGCCTCTGTAAATGAGAGCAAAAAGAGGCCTCACCTCAGAGAGGCCAGGATTCAGTTGGGCTTTGGGCTGCCTCATTAGCCATTGACCTGAGCATCTGAATCATGCAAATGGATTCTGCTTCAGTGGCATCCATGCATTTCATCTTTGGAAAATGTGGCACCATCCTCTGAGCCACTGGAACAACGTATGCTTCTTGTACATTTTTTTGTCAGAGAGGAAGCTACCTTGACCTGAGAGCCTAGAATCCTGCCCCACAGTCAGGTAATACATACCTCCATTGCATTCCCAATTGCTCGGGATGCATAACTTCTCAGTGTGTTAACTGAATTGTCCCCCTGCTATCTGATATAAGAACATTGATTTAAAGCTAGACTGAGATGATACTTGGTGAGATGCATCTAAAAGAGACAGGGAAGTCTTGGGCGTAGGTCAACAGGTACCTGTGTGCCATGGTGGCCAAGAAGTTTTTGTATGGACACAGATCCATAGACAATTTTGAAAGGAAAAGAGATGTTCATTCTTGGCCTATTGCCTCTGACCAGCCTGCTACTTCAGTGTGTAGCATGAGTTCTAATATGTCTTAATAATTAAAAGCCTGGAGTCAGGTATTGGGTTAAATGGTGAAAGAGCAGAGAAAAAGGACGAAACCAAAACCACACCTTACCTCCTCAATTTCCCAACCAGAAAGAGACTGAGATCCTGTTTCCTCCTGCCTATATTCCTTTCTCCACCCAGCCATCTCACTTCCTGTCTGTCTGTACAGACCCTCCAGACCTTCATGGTTAGCTAGTAGCTACCTCCACCATCTGATCTTCAGGCAAGCTATATTTGTTAGAGAACAAACAAGGTATCACCACCTCAGCTCTTTAAGTGTGTGGTGGTTCTAAGTTTAGGAGCACCAGGACACTCCTCTAACTTGAGGCCCATTGAACATCATACTATTTTAACCGAGATAAGGCAACACAAAGTATCTCTGATGCCTTGAGAGTACATCCATTAATGGTGTCTGTGCTCTTGTCAGCTTATATTCACTAGAACTTGAGGTGGCAGCATGAGAATTTTGCCTCAGTCTGTTGTCAGGGTCAATACAACTGTAAGGGACAAACTGAAATATTTCAAATGGCGCCTGAGACAGTACTGTCTAGTGGAGCAGAGGTAAGTCATCCCCCACGGGCTTCTATGAGATAGTGAACTGATGGGGGATGCCCTTCTATCTGCTGTGAATATATGTTTCTCTTACTGGTTGATGAACAGAGCTGTTTTGGCCAATGGACAGGCAGGATGTAGCCAGGTAGGAAGTATAAGCAGGGCCACCAGACTAGGAGAATTCTGGGAAGAGGAACATGGAGATTGGGTCTTGGGAGAGACACCATGTAGCTGCTGAGGAAGAAAGAGGCCCTGGGTATCACTGGTAAGCCAAGACCATATGGAGATACACAGATTAATAGAAATGGGTTAATAATTAAGAGGAAAGTAGCCAATAAGAAGCCTGAGCCATAAGCTAAACAGTTTATAATTAATATAAGCCTCTGTGTGTTTATTTGGGACTAAATGGCTGCATGACTATGCAGTACAGAAGCTTCCATCTACAGTGGACTATGGAAATAAAACTGAAAACTAGACATAGATCAGTAAAAGACCATTGAGGGACAGAAATCATGGACCCACACTTAAGATGAGGCTATGTGATAAGGGACTTGTTTTAACAATTACTTTTATGATTATTAGTAATTAATGCAATGTTTATTTAGAACCTAGCACTTAACAGTGAAGCATAGGTACTATGTAAAATTTCTATTTATTGACATGCTGTAAGAGCCTAGGTTTGTTCATAGAACTGAAAAAAAAAACCCACTGTCATATATATATTAAATACGTGGAATGTTTAATCTAAAACTATAAGATGCATAATTTGCTTTGCCCTGTAAAATGTTCAAATGTATTTCCTATATATATTTGCATAAATATCTATCACATTGAGATGTTAAATACAGCTATATACTCTGAAGTCATTATATATTACATGTACTTAAGCTAGTAGTCATATGATGACTGTTTTGATACTATGGAAGAGCCAGAAGGAGAAAAATCAGAGCTCCTTCTATGTGTACAGAGAGGTGTCTGGACACTGGGAGTGATGGATCTCTTCCTATCTCCACTCAGCCCTCCAGTGTGTCCAGGATAACCTCTGTGCACATTCAGAGGGAGTTCTATTATCCTCCCTTTTATTTCCCACATCGGATCCAAAATAATCATCACACAAAAGCTTACCATTTAGGAATTGTGCCCATAGCCATGTGACTTAGCCTTGCCATGCATCATTTTCTTCTGTAAAGTAGGGATAATGGCACCATCCCCATTCCCTCTGCAGGGTGTTTTAAAAGTCTCCGATTGCATAGGAAATGTGGACAATTTGAAAACTAGAGATCCATTCAAATGCATGCAAGGTATACCTCATTGGCCCTGTTAGAGGTCACTGAAGAGCTGCTGGTAACTCTCTGGCATCTGTTTCTGTCATGTTTCTCCTACTGTCCAGTTCCTTTCATTCATTGGTCTGACCATGTCTCATATAATGTTCTGGGCTTTTTTTTATCCTGTAAGAGATGCTGGATCAGGGATCCAGCACTGTAGTGTGACACAGTCCATTCTCAGGACTTCGAGAGGGTGCTGAGACAGGGTTTCCCCTCTTATTTTTTATTTTGTCAGCTCTTTCATGCTTTCCCACCTAAATAGAAAAGGTCTCAGTTTTGGTTCTACCACTGCATGATTCCAAGTGAGCCATTTCCTGTATTAGTCAGTGTTTTGTGGCTATAATGAAATAATTAAAACAGGGCACTTGCAAAGAAAATAGGCATGAATGCTCCATCACCCCAGTCTGACCACCCTAGGGATCAAGGTCCACATCATGGACCCTAGAGGGACACTCAAGCTATATCACAGAGGACAGCAAGCCCAATGCCATTGCCTCAGGTCCTTCCCCTGCTTCTTTCTGGCCTTCCACTTACATGTGGAAGTAACATGTCAGAACAAGCAACTCCTGTCTCTGTGATATAGTGGGCTGGCTTCCAGTACACACACACACACACACACACACACACACACACACACACACACACACATTCCCAGTACACAGGGCACGGAGGTAGGTAGACAAAACAGGCTACTTAGCGAGACCCTGTCTCAAAAAACTAAAATAACTCAATTTAAGATTATGTGGATGTTTAAAAACCCTTTGGATTAGCCGGGTGTTGGTGGCGCACGCCTTTAATCCCAGCACTCAGGAGGCAGAGGCAGGCAGATCTCTGTGAGTTCGAGGCCAGCCTGGTCTCCAGAGGGAGTGCCAGGATAGGCTCCAAAGCTACACAGAGAAACCCCGTCTCGATAAACCAAAAAAAAAAAAAAAAAAAAAAAAAAAAAAAAAAAAAAAAACCTTTGGATTGAACCACCTTTGGCAAAACTCCAGCAATGTCTAGCGCAGTGGTTTTCAACCTGTGGTCACATATCAGATCTCCTGCATGTCATATATTTACAATGAGATACATAACAGTAGCAAAATAAGAGTTACGATGTAGCAAGGAAATAATTTTATGGTTGGGGGGTCATCACAACTCCAGGAACTGTATTAAAGGGCCTTAGCATTAGGAAGGTTGATAAATACTGATCTAGTGCCTTGCATATGGATTCTATGACACCTTCCTGGAGATCATAGAAATGTAAAGAACTATAAAATGGGACAATATACATGTTTAACTAGCCAACTTATAAATTCATGCCTGCCTAAGCAGCCATGAGAGTTCCTGACAGTGGTTCTCCCATGATGCACCGGGGAAGCTCTGCTTTGTGTGACAAAGCTCAGCTACAGCAATCTCACAGGGCTGGTAAGCTTTCATTCAAAGTCTGGCGAGACACATACACTGAGTTTTGGGGCACCTAAACAATAAAGACACTTGTCAGATTTAACCATGCAGTGTGGCAAAGGCACAGTCCATCATTGAGCATGCAGAATCTAGCAAAACAAGCAGAGACCTCCTAGAGGTGCCCACATTAAAGACTCACTTATCCAGAGAGCAACCAAGTAGACAAACACTAATGTAGTCCACCAGTAGTCCAAGGTGAAGTCATGGTGGCCTTTCAGATTTTGTTTCCCCTTAATAAAATTTTATTTTCCATGGGCTCCATGGCTTGGCCTTCAATCTCTATCTGGCACGTGATTTTTATCTCTGTAACAATTGCTTGGGACTGAGGGCTTGAGGACAGAACTAAATGTTTGTCCCATTAATGCAATGAGAGACAGTGCTGAGGGAGGAAGGCAATCGTCACCTTCAGCTTTAGTACAAGCGGGTTCTTTCCTTTGTCTCAAACTCAAGCCTACATACATCAGGTAGTAGCTAACATTCTCCCTTCCTGCTAGAAAAACAGTCACCACCCTGAAAACATAGAATTTCATCTGAGAAAAGACCGAGAGATCAAACCATTCAGTTTTCACGGGCAGCTGGAATGCTTCTGAAGCATCAGTTCCCGAGAGGCCCAAGCTGAATTATCTTAACTGTCAAGGAATCTGCCCATCTCCACTCCCCACCCCGTGTTAAATTCTAAACTCACATCTCTAAAATAATTTTACTTCGCCCCCTGTGCCACATTTGACTCACAATTTTAACCCACTCCTTCTAGTGGCATTCTCTGATGCCACCCAGGAAAATACAACAACAAAAAATCTGTCCTTTTTTCATGCAAGTTTTGGATTTGAACATTGTAAACCATTTTAATTTGCTTTCTGTTGCTGTGGTTAAATGGTCGGAACAAAAGCAACTTGCAGAGGAACGGGTTTAATTTAGCTTACCCTTCCAGGTCACAGTCTGTGGTTGAGAGAAGTCAGAGCAGGACCTCAAGCAGGAAATGAAACAGAAACCATAGAGGGATAATGCTTACTGGAGCAGTCTCTCTCCTCTCCTGTCCTCTCCTCCTCCTCCTCCTCCTCCTCTTCCTCCTCCTCCTCCTTCTCTCTGCCCCTCCCTCATAGCTTCTCTAGCTTTCTTCTACAGCCTAGGCACACCTGCCTAGGGATGTTCCCACCCACAGTGGGCTGGGCACTCTGACAAAAATTAGCAATTAAGGAAATGCCTCACAGACTTGCCTCAGGCCAGTCTGATCCAAGCAGCTGGGTTCCTTCAGATAATTTTTCAGGTGTCAAGTGACCAGCTGAAGCTAAGTAGAAGATAAATATTCCCTCTAAACAAAGGATTTTTTTCTTCTTTTTTTCTAAAGTATGTTAGACAGTTCACATTTACCTCCCATTCATCCTACAACTATGCCTTAGCATTAGATACCCCCACATACTCCCTAGGAATTAGAAAGATAGAATTCTGAAAGGCTACTCACCTTGGAGGTGCCGTGGAAGGGATTCAGGACCAGCCCTAGGTCCAGCTTCCCAGTACAATAGAGCCTGGCAAGCACTCTATGGATAATACTGAGCAGCTGCTATAAACTTTTACCAAAGCTGAAATTAAGCCATGGGGTCTTGAAGGGCTGTCTGGTCCTGAGTGGTCATTTAAGCCATCACTTTAACCATTATATAAATAAAACACCAAGCCTACGTAGAAGATTCACCCCTATGGTTCTAATGTGTGTTTGGTATGTGAAGGTACTTTTCAAGATACAGAAAGAGGATATATATTTATTGTATATATCAATATTATATTTATTTATATATTTATTGTATATTTATTGTATATATTCAGCCACAAAACCTTTGATCTACAATAATGTTCTGCCTCCAAATATGGCATGGCAATGGTGGCACAAAGCTTGTGGGAGTAACCAACCAATCTCTGATTTGACTAAGGCACACTCCAGGAGATGGAACCCATACCTGACACTGCTTGGGTCACCAAAAACCAGAGACTAGATAGCCCAGAGACCTAGAGTAATATGAAATACTATAGTTCCTATAACAAGAAAAAAGTAGTAATAATATAACTCCTATTGATATTTTGCTATACTCACAGATCAGTGTTTTATTCAGTCATGAGAGAGCTTCCTCCTACAGAAGATGGGAACAAAGACAGAGAGCCACAGTTAGATATTACAGAGAGAGAGAGCGAGAGAGAGAGAGAGAGAGAGAGAGAGAGAGAGAGAGAGCTTGGAACACTCAGCTCTAAATGGGAAATCCTCTCAGAAAACCCCATGGAAAAAGGAGACAGAGTGTATGAACCAGAGGAGATGGAAGACAGTAGGGGAACAAGGCCCTATAAATCAACTGGGCAGAGTTCCTTTGAACCCAGAGACTGCAGCAGCACAAACAGTGCCTACACGGGTCTGCTCCAGGTCCTCTTTGATCATATTATAGCTTTCAGTTTAGTGTTTTTATAGGATTCTTGAGTGTGAGTGAGCGGATCTCTGATTCTTGTGCCTTCTCTTGGGCTCTTTTCCTTCTTTTGGTTTTCCTGTCCAGCTTCAGTGGTTCTTACTTTACAGAATTTCATTTTGTTATATTTTGTTGTTATCTCTTAGAAGCCTATTCTTCTCTAGTGAGAGAAAGAAAAGGAGTGGCTCCAGGAGGGCAGGGAGGTGGGGAGAGACTAGGAGAAGTAGATGAAAGGGAAACTGTAACCAGCATACACTGTGTGAGAAAGGAATCTATTATCAATAAAAAGGGAAAAATAAAATGCCCTTCTGGACTAGTAAACTTCAAAGACAAAACAAAACAAAACTCAACCAGCCAAGCAAACAAATAAAACACCAAGTGTCAGCCAGGCGGTGGTGGCGCATACCTTTAATCCCAGCACTCAGGAGGCAGAGGCAGGCAGATCTCTGTGAGTTCGAGACCAGCCTGGTCTACAGAGCTACTTCCAGGACAGCCTCCAAAGGCACAGAGAAACCCTGTCTCCAAAAACCAAAAAGAAAAATACCAAGTGTCTACCCCTTCATAGTATTAGAAATGCATTGCTTTGCAAGATTTTTAGGGGAAGGACAAACTTTATGCTTCAAAGTTGGAGTTTACTTTCTGGAGTCCTACTTCGGTTTTCTCTACTATCTTCCTTGTCACCAGTTCTGGTAAATGATGTCATCTTTCCACATGTCTTCATTCGATCATGAGGTCAGCATGGCATCCTGACCTGTTCACACTTCTTTGCTCTACTAACAAAGGCTGCAAGAGACAGAATAGCAAATATATAAAAACTGAAGATCAGATATTATAGACATTGTAGTCTGTGAGCACCCACCTTGCAGGAATTGCTCATACTACACCCTCTCTACAAATAGTCCCTTCTCTAATTCCATCACTAAATGCTTATTCTTTTAACCTTCAAGGAAAATAAGACATCTCTTCATGTGCATATAGAAATACCAGCATATTGGGCTGGAGAGATGGCTCAGCCGTTAAAGGCTAGGCTCACAACCAAAAATGCAAGAAATCCTAGCATATGGAAGAAACCATTGCACGTTACCATGCAAAGTAATATATCCCACGCTGGCTTAACTACTTCCAGAATGATCCTTCCAATACAGTCTTCTCTTCCCATGATAATGGAAAAGAAAGGATCCTATTTAGTATAGCAAAGAAGGAAAACAAGGAGGAAGAGGAAGGGGAAAAGGAAGAAGGAAGGAAGGGAAGGGGAGGAGGCATACAAAGGAGGTTGTAAGGCTGTTCATCCTCATAACAGCAGTTTCTTATTGTAATCAAAAGCCCCTTCTGAAACAGGCTTAGTGTAGAGTTCATATGGTTTTTTTAAAAAATCAGATTTTAAGTTAGCAAAGTAATGGGTTTCATTTTTCCATTTTTATAACATACTTATTTTTATTTGTCTCCTTCCAACTCCTCATTTTAGTCTTTCTCTGCACCTCCCCACCCCCTAGCATGGTCTCTCTTCTCTCCAGAACACTATCAGTTCTGCTTTCATGTTAGAATTCATTTGAACTGAGAGTGCACACACCCTAACTCATAACAGCAAACAAAACAGGAGATGGACAAGGATTCAAACAGGGATCTTAACTCTCCACCCTGGTGCTAGAGACCCTAAAATAGGGGGAAAGCTTCAAATTATTAAGGTCTATAACAGCAAAAAAAAGGGGTCAGCCTTTCCTTGTCAATCATAAGGGACAGAATGACACTGCCACAACAAATGATAGGCAAGAGGAGAGAAACATAGCCAAGAGTACTTAAGGATTTTTGTGTTAGTGATGTGGGAGTCTTCAGAAGTGAAGACCGAACACTGAGAGAAAAATCTCTTGTATCCAGGTTCAGAGAAGAATGGCCAACCATATAAAAATGTGACAGGACAAAAGGGTTAGATAGAGTCGTCACAGACTGAAGGGGAAGCTGGCTGGGTTTGAACTTGGTCAGACTCCTTTTCGTTGCTCCGTGTAGCATTCCATGACACTTGTCACAGGAGGGGCTTCAGAGAAGAAGGTAAATATCAAGAACGCTGTTTCTAGCTCCAATGTCTTGCTTTCAAGGGAAAGGGTTCTAGTTTCCACTGTCCACATTGTGGACAGACGTCCAGGTTTCTATGAGTAACTTGGTAACAAAAGAGAGATGAGAGACAGAAGACAAGAGAAAGTTATAAACTCACTTTCAAGGCCCTAAAGAGTTCAAAGTATGCAGCCTAGCAAGATGCCATCTTTTGGGGTGTGATGTTCTCAGCCTTGACATCCAGAAAAGGCTGTATCAGGTCCCTGCTGTATCTTTCTTTCTGCCCTCTCAGGCAGCAATCATTTTATGGCAATATATTCAGGAGACAGTTTTTAAAAAAATCTTTTCCCCATTTACTGCTTTAGAAACAGAATCCACGGCCTAATTGAGAATCCTTTCTGCCTAATTACTCCAGTCCCATTTTTTTTAAAGCAGCGGAGTTGCTGTGGAATTATGTGCTGTATAATTTCATCATTTAGCGATATGTAAATCAGCAGAAGAAAGGAAGAAGGAAGGAGCCACAGAAGAAAAGCAGGCACTGCTGTGAATTTGTATGTGGTGGGGTGGGTGAGGAGGTGTGTGCAGACAAGGGAAGAGGTCTGCATGTAGGCATCTTTGTGCGCATCTAATTCCTTGTCTGCCACAATTTTACTCAGCATCTGCTACAGCATCTGAACCAGCATCTCCTGGTTCAGTGAATGAATGAAGGAGCCCCTGGTTTGCCTTCCTCGTGAGTTGTTCACACAAAACCAAGTCACAGAATGACCCTGGACACTTTTAAGAAACTCTAAAACATGGACAATGTATAAAATGCCTTAGAGCCTAAGGGATAAGTCACTAGTTAACGTCAAAATGAAGCAAAACCAAACCAAAAAACTCAAACACAGCAAACACCTTTCCTTGTCTTATGGACAGAGAGATCTGCTTCACAGAGTGCGAATAAAACATTGCTTTAGTGTCCCCATGTCTGCCACAGATGAAATCACTTTTAACTTTCCTCTCTGTCTGGCCTGCTCTACAAATGACAAAGAGGTAGGATATGGGTTCATTTGCTCCATCAGTTTAGGGAAACTTTCCTTCGAGATGCATTCCCAGATGCTGCTCACATCTGAGGCTCACAAAGTAGGTCCTTCATGGGTCTCAGTGTGGCTCTGCAGACACTCCCTATAATCTGATCTAAGAGAGCCTGAGTTGAGTCAGTAGCAGAAATGAGCCACTTCACATGGACAGAGAGAAGCATGTTCTCCTGGTCTTCTAAAACCCAAGCATGCTTGCCCAGAGGTGACACCACCCATAGTGGGAGAGGCAACCGAGAAAATGCCTCACAGACTTGTCTACAGTCTTAGGGATATATTTTCTCAACTGAGGTTCCTTCTTCCCAGATAACTCTAGTTTATGTCAAGTTGTCAAAAAGAAAACCCTAACTAGCACAATGAGTTATAAAACAAAACAATCCCCCTCATGAAGTTGGGAGGGGGAATGTTGAGGGCAATGGGGGTAGATATGATCATATCTCATTGTATACTTAAAAAATTCTCACAAATAAAGAGAAAGTAAT